AAATTAGGCGACTTTTATGTGCCCAAGGGGTCCCTGGTGATGCTATTTCATTAATGGAAGAGCAGGACATGATTAACACAAGAGAGCTAGTTTAGTCTCTAAAAGAGACATGGCTACGGCTTGATGCCAACATGTTTTTTAGCTGTCAAATTTAATTTAGAATTCTGAAAATAAAGTCAGAATTGTGAGAAAAAAGTCAGAATTTTGACTTTAATCTCAGAATTCATTTAGAATTTTGAGAATAAAGTCAGAATTGTGAGAAAAAAAGTCAGAATTATGAGAATAAAGTCAGAATTGTGAGAAAAAAGTCAGAATTATGACTTTTTTTTCATATTGTACTGAAATGAAATTTTAAAATCGGTTAACTCTTTTTTTCAGTGGCCCTAATCCTCTTCCATAGTATTGAGTAAGAAAAGGTGTGTGTCATTTTCAATGTCCAAGGGAAGCATCACTGTTAACTCTGCTGTGGTGCTCCACTGTTTTCATGTTTGCCCCTTTCTGCTGAGTCGTTTCGCAAACATATTTAGCCAATGTTAGCAACAATAAGACGTTTTTTTGTTTTGTTTATTTACAAGCAATATATTTTAATAAATAGTTCAACATTTTGTTTTCTTTAGGCTTCCATAATGCAAAGGGGAAAATAAATTAATATTTCGTTGCGTTTAACCACAAACAATGTTAAACACTTGCTTATGAGCTAACCGTAACCAGTTAGCACCGTCCTCCTGCTAAATGACACGGCACAGGCAACTTCAAAGCCTTTCTCTAATTTATTACGCATAACATAGAAAAACATGTATTCATATGATTAAAACGTTTGGGATTCGGGTTGACCTAGTCAGATAATACTGTATTTTCGGTGAAATAATTGTAGAATTGAGCCAGCGAGTGGTTTCTTTCTTTCACGTTAAGCTAACATTAGTGCTACCTTTTGTAGCAACCAGGCTCGCTTTAAGACGCTGTTGAAGCTTTGAGAAGGAAATAGTAGTTCTGAAAAACGTAACACCAGTTAAACGAGGCTTCGCTCTGTAATTATTAAATGAATTGATCCATTGTCACCTTACCTCATCTGCGCTCAACTCTTCCATCCTGGCAGCTAAGTCAACTAGCTATTTCACTTTCAGTTGCTTCGGAGTGCCAGCCAGAGCCAGCTAGCTAGCTTCGATTAGGACCGAATATGCATAGTTTAACTCGTTCAACGAATAAATGTCAGTCCGGATTGTCCCCGAGTTAAAAACTAGGACACCGATATACGATAGATGGAGAGCTGCAGATCTCCCAAAAAATCTCTTGTTTGGTAGTTTTTCTACCGAGAAGCAAACAAAAAGAAAAGTAGCTAGCTATTATATACGTCAAAATACAACAGCGGCCATTTTGGCTCTACATCAGGTCACGTGACTATTGATGCTTAGGGGGAATGCTGCGTCACTGCGTGGAAAATACCTTTAAGTAGTGGTGAATTGAACAGAACCAATGAGGTTTACGAATTTTATGTAGCCATTTATTTGTTTCTCTACGTTGATCCGCCAGAAACATACAAATTGAATTAGTAAATTAATTCACCAACTCCATCCTTAATCTTTTTGTTGTTGTTTTTCCTTAGATTCTGCCATGAGAAATCACTTATTTTTCAAATATAACGTTCCATATGGTAAATTAAAAGATTTAAAAACAAAAAAGAAAAAAGGGGATGATTGTTTTCTCCTAATCAGACTTGGAAATAACTTTCCATTTCTATTGTGTCTACAGCTTCCTGCAAATATAGACATTTTCATTTATGCTGAAATGTCTTGTTTACTGTTTATCTGATTATATGTGTATGGTTTTATGTTATAAGATAAAATCCACATCTGTTTTTAAACTGTATTTGCTATTTGCTCTGTTGGGGAACCCATTGTACCTCACCTGAAAATGTGAAGCTCAAAAAGTAATACCAATAACTCTGTAATGTTTTAAAAGAAACATTTTATCTGAGAAATGTGGAAACCAAAAAATGACTGAAACTGAGAAGCTGCATGATTTGTGAAAACACAAGCAGCTTACTAGTTACTTTACAAAACACACACACTGAATAGGCCTACAGTAAAAAGCTGAGAGCTGAACAACCTACAATTAATGGCAGAATTAACTATCCAGAAAATCTACACCGGAAACAAATCAAAATCTATATACGGTAAGTAATTTTCTCTTAAAATAAGTGCATTTGTTCTTAGATTGAGGAGGTAAAAGAGACATTTTGCCAATGGAACGAGACAATTTACACTTAAAATAACAAAACACAATCACATTGTCTCATTTCAAGCACATATGATCTAATTACCTTATTTTAAGAATAAAAATACTCCATTGTGGGCCGGATCTATCAAAGGTTTGCGTGTATAAAAACGTGAGCTATTTCATTGCGCACGCTAAAAAATGTACAAACTGATCTATCAACAGCGTGCTAAAAGGATTTGGTCTTTAAAACGTGCTAAATAGCGCCTCTTATCCATTTAGTACTTTTTCTGCAATGAATATGCAATATGGGGCGTTTACACGCAAAAGTGCGTCTTGTGGGAGGAGAACATGTAAATATATTAATTTAGCACTCGCAAAGTGATTTATCAAACCTGAAAGCAATTTTGCCAACGGTATCTGACTCTATATTTAACACGTTTCAAAAGAAGGTGCAAATGGTCTGTATGCGTAATTGCGCACACATGGCAGCGGTTATTGTCGCAAAAGGAGACATAGAAATGAAGCAAGGAGACGCAGAGAACGCATTTTTTCACTCCTTGTGAATATTTTTGGAATGAACGAGGAAACGATCATCAAAACATATCGTTTATCCAGCATTGCCATTTTGGAGCTGTTGGGGGAACTCCGAATGGATTTGGAGCCAGCCACAAGGAGGACCCATGCAATACCAGATATCACAAAACTCCTTGCAACATGGCACTTTTTTGCATCTGGGATCTCCCAATCTCGTTTTTCAGAAGTGCTGTCCGACGTTTTAAATTCCATGTCGCCCTGACGCCCTACCGGAGAACCCCGACCTCTGCGCCTGTGGAGCAACATGCCAATGCTGCGGGGATGCGTAGTCATCTCATCCACAGTCCCATTGTGAGCCATTTGGTATGTGCATTTATCTACAGGCCAATACAAAACACCTGTTTTTTTTTTTTGTTGTTTTTTTTTTTGTTTTTACTGCAGTGAAGTAGAAATTCAGCCACATACCACCTTAGGGAATAAAGGTTGCCAAAGTTTATATATATATATATATATATATATATATATATATATATATATATATATATATATATATATATATATATATATATATATATATATATATATATATATATATATATATATATATATATAATTTTTTTATTTTTTTGGAGGGGGTGGGGGTGTCACTGTAAGATAAAAATTTCTTAATGCACTAGTTTGCACAAACTACTTTGCCGCAAACCACAAAACGCGCAAAACCATCATTTAAATAGGGCGTCTCCAACGGTTTTGCACCTGCCACCAGTTACGCAATCGCTCTTGTTAAATCACCCGCAAACCATGGTTCAGCCCCTCGCGCAAAATTCCAGTTTGCGAGCGCAAATTACTGCACGCAAAATTGGATCTTGATAAATCCGGCCCTGTGTGCATTTCCATTGGCAAATCACCTCATTTACCTACTCAAATTAAGGGTAAATACAATGAATTTAAGAAATTTTTACATATTTCTAGATCGTTTTTCAAGCGTATAAACTCAAAACAAAACTTCCTGGCTGTGCTTGAAGTCTATGTACTTTTGGCACATAGGCTTGAGAATATAAATGTTAAGTATTTAGGTTTAAATAAGTAAGCAACCGTTTTACATTTACAGATTTTTTTTACAGATTTTCTGGGAGATTTTGTTTTTGCATTAAAGCATTTATCCATGCCTTTTCACACCTCTAGCATGAAACTAGAGGAAAACTAGAAACACGTAACTAGAAACTATAATGTGCTTTCTTTCACCTCTGATTATGACATCCATGAAGTCTAAATAATCATAAACACGCAGAAGCAAAGTTAGGCGTAAATATACACACACTCTGGCAGACTTAGATGTATAAGATACTTTGTAAATTAACTGAGATGTTTCTTCTGACTCTAACTGAATGTGCAGAGGGAATTAAAGATATGGGAGATGGCAACAACACCCTCCACCAGCAATGGCACTCATCATCAAAGAAAAACAGTCAAATAAAGATGTTAACGTACATTTTTTTAGAAGGGTAAAAATCTTTTAAAATCCTTTTTTATTTTTTACTTTTGTCATCTATTTACGTTATTTTGTCTGTAGATATATGCCTATATATCTTATTCCTTATCATGTTGATGTGAACTTTGGTTGAATAAATCTTCTAGGAGTATAAATAATTGGTCTTTGAAGTGTAAAAATGAGATTTTTACCACCGTGCAAAGGACAATTTTATTTAACCTACCATTCCCACTTTTCTTTTCACTTTTTTATGTACCAAAAATCAGAAGACTGACTGAAAGTTTTTGTTTCAAAGGAAATTTATTAACAAAATTCAAATCATATAAAAACGTATCCCAAACATATTTTCTATAAATGTATCTTACATACCTTGCATAGGCTATCTAAATATACACACTTGGAATTTCAAAACTGGCACAGTGATTTTAAATTGAACAGAAGGAGCCTTAGGGGAGTGTTTTAAATAGAGGAAAGTTGTTTTTTTGTTTTTTTTCAGCCAGCTGAAAAAAACAACAACCTTTGACGCATCTCTGATGCTTCAGTGTTCATCTGATGAGCATAAATTCAGCTCTACAATGGTTTACAAATAGTGCAGCGATGCCACCTATTGGCACAAGTTGTACTGCATGTTCACCCAGCCGCAGGCCCACATCCCAGAAACCACAGGGTCTAGAAGGGTGTGGTTTTGTCCTTCAGGGTCAGCAGTAGCAGATGCCCTCCATCACTGGGTGAATGTTCCCAAAACACTTCTTTTTTCCCTCTTCACTCATTAACATTCTTCTTAAACACCTGCTTGCAGATCTGTCCATCACAGTACAGCTCCTAAAGAGAAAAAATGTACCAGAACTTTATAATAAATGCATTTTTATGTAAGTATTTAAGTATATAAAACTGATAAAAGTCCAAATATGCCTTATATTTTTCCTACCAGGTGGAGCTTGTCACCTTCAACCCAGTGAGCCCAGCCTCTGTTCTTCTTCTCTCCAGTCTGCTCACATGTCAGCTTATTTCCCTGCCATGTCACTGTGGACTGCGCCGATGGAAGACAAAAAAAGGTGGGAGGTTTGATCAGAACAGCAACACAAAATCAGCACATCCATACTTCCTACAGACTCCTGGTATATGTATGATTATGATCTCCGTTCTCACCTTGATGTGTCTGTTGTCCAGTCCCTTTGTAAACTCCTCAAACTCATGGCCGATTTTGAAGGATATGGTGTAGTTTCTGAAGGTGCTGACAGTTTTAACAATGTACTGGTCTCCCTGCTGCTCAATAACCTTCTTCAGCTTTAGCCTCAGGGCAATTTTTCTCAAATGAACACTGATACCTGGAAGAGCAGAGGAATCCATCAGGAAAACTTCAGTGTTGTACCATATATAACTGCTGAAACATTTCAGCAACATTTCAATGTTGCCGTACATCCATGCATTTCACAACAGAAAAAGAGTATCTCATTAAACTTTACATCCAGTTGCATATTTTTGGAATAAAACTCACCAAGTGCTTTCATGTAGCCATCAAAGTTGACATTGCTGATCATGTCCCATGTTCCACACACACTGGTTGGCATGATGATTTCTCTTTGTTTCTTTGCTCAGGGATTAGTTAGCGTGATTTCTGTGATCTTCAAGCTGGTTATCTGATGCAGAGTGTAGGGGTGAGCTTATAAATAAGCTCTGCTTTCGGGAAAACCCCCTGTGAGATAATGGTGGGCGTGTCCCCTGTTCACTTGTTGTTCAGGTGAAGATTGTGTGAGTATGGTGAGAAAGGCTTTTATCTGTGGAAACGGTGGTAATGGAAAGCCGAGACACGTCTGACAGGTTCAACTTTTAAAACTATGCCTCAGGTGTTAAAACGAAAACAAAACAAAAAAAACCCCAGACCTCTTTGTTTACTGTTAAAAATTTCCACTCAGATTTTAGGAAAACGTAGAAAAATTGTAGAAACTGTAGGGGAAACAAAAAACAAGCAAAACATTTTTACCTTAGTTTTAAAAATTTATTGAGGAAATCATGAAAAGACTGATTCAAAAGCACAATTTGGTTTAAGTTTTTATCAGTAGCGTCAAATTATTCGGCAAAATGTCACTCCTGGCATCATATTAAATTAGGATCAGCACTGATACTTTAACCACAGCTATCAAAGAATGAACTGTGAACTTATTTTTGCAGCAACAAAGTAAAACCGATGCAGAATCACTAAGGAATGCAGGATAGAGGAAATGAAATCAAACTCACTCCACAAGTAAATAAACAGCCTTTTATAGAAGGTTAAAAATGAGTAATCAACTGCCAAGGTTTATGAAACAGACACAGGTTTGGATTTATCCTACTGCTTTGTTTTTCACAGAAATCTTTAATATGGTGCGAAAGATTTTGATGCAATCTTGGATCTCAAACATTAATGCTAAGTTAATCATTTTCCTCCATGATGAATTTAATCATTTAGCTTTATCAACTATCAAACTCTATTGGTGAGATAAGTTAACTTCCTACTTATCAAACGTATTAGGAGCTCTGAGAGGAACTGGGTTTTCAAATATAACTCATATGGTATTAAGCTTACAAAAGTCATATGTTATCCCAGCATATTTATATTTATTATATACTGCATATTTGCATACACTGTACACAAACACCGATCTTTTATTTTTACAGTCTGGCTGGAAATCAGACCAAACATATTTTGTTTTGGGTAAAATGTTCTATTTATTTCTGTTTGCTAACTGACAGAGATATTAAACAAATTATTTTGTTAATTTTTTAATTTAGAAAGTATATTTACTATGATGATTGTGCTTTTAAAAAAATCACGGGAGATGAGGAGGAGCCTCACCTGTTTTTACAGGAGGTACATCCAAAAAATAAATAAAAATACTATGTTTAAACTTGCCCTTCTTCAGGAATGAAATATCAGCCAAGATGTCAGGATAAATATGGGGACTCTCCTCAGTCTTCTAACCACTGGGTATTGTTTCCAGATGCCACAAAGCGAAACATTTATCTGTTCTAAACAAGTATAAAACTCTTTGGTGAAGATGGACGTGTTTTAGTGTGAAATGGGTTTAAGCAACCCTGAACCAAAGCAAAATAACAGGTGAAAAATATGGTCGAAGCGGCTAAGAGGGTCATTAGCCAAAGTAACATGACAAACAACACCTTGATTATTAAAGACAAAGGTGAAAAAAAGCAGAATTTGGAAATGATGTTCTGTTTAAGCTACACATTGGCTGAAAGTCTAAGGAATTGTACCTTCAAAGGTTCACTAAGGAGGAATGAGACAAAGCAAATTACTGAGAGGATATCCACAATGCTTGACCCAATTCCAGCGTTTTAAGGTGATACTACTAAAAGCCAACTAAATGTATATCGAATTTTGAGTTTTATATATCTAAAAAAATCTAAACAAACCCTTCAGGTAATCATCTTTAATTCCATTAAGAAAAAAGTAACTTTATAAACTATATAAATATCTGTTTACTGATGCCTTTATATCACATTAAAGAAACCATTGTTTGAATGTTGTGTCAGGATCAGAATCAGCACTGAACCAGGCTCACATCAGTCGCTTTCCATGAATGAACTACATTGTTTGCATATTGTTCCCAAAACTAAAGGAGGGGATTCAGCCTTTAGTTTCTATCCTCCTCTGGAACAAAACTCCTGGGAAAACTAGAAACTGTTGTCCCCTTTACATCAGGACAAAAACAAAATATGCCTGCTTACTGCATGAACCATCTGTTAAAAATCTTAATTTTTAGGTTGTGTCATCATATTTAAAGAAGTTGTACAGAAATAATGGTTAACAAGTGACTTTTTATGCAACAATAAGGAAATGTGGAGCTTAATACACCCATTCTCAGTAGTATACATAACAAAAGCCCAATTTCTAACTAAGGATTATCTGTTTTTTTCCAATCTCAAGGACATTAGCATAATAGGAAAACAAAGAGGACGTCCAGGTTAAAAACAAAGAAACCTGTTTATTATTAGTTCATTACAAATCCCAAAAAGCTTCAGTGTTATATCAGCGTGTGATGAGAGGAGTGGTGAGCCCATGGAAAATTCCAGCTCTGGGTTGAAAACATGTAATGAGCTGTTAGAGTTAAAGCAGCCTCAGGTTCAAGTAGATTTCTATTTAACACATTATGTACAAAATATAAACTCAAAAATAAAACTAAAAAAAAAAGTGTTTTATTTGTAGTTGAACTTTGGCTCTTTTACTCCGATTAGTGCAAAATAAAAAATAAACATTTCCACCATAAAACTCATCTGAATGATTGGTCTGTGAAACAGACACTACTGACAGCATGAATAAACAATCTAATTTGTTTTGGATTCACAGCAAACCGGCTTCAGCTTTTTTTTGTAAACATGGCGTTAAAGTTCATCAGCTGGTGGAGGCCTCAGAGTATCTCTGAAAAGGCGCAAGAATTACATCAGCGTTTTTCTGCTCGCTCTCAGCGCTGTAGAGGCCATGCTCCTGAATGTAGCTGATGACGCTGTCGGGCAGCAGGTATCTGACGCTTCGGCCTCGGCGCAGTGCCCGCCGGACATGGGTCGCAGAGATGTCGTTGGTCACCCATTCATGGACGACGTGGATATTCGTGCGATACTTCCATAGCTCGTCCAACTGGTTGATGAATTTGTGCGGGTCGCCGCCGCTGCGAGTGATGCAGACCAAACCGTAGCGCCCCACGATCTCAGCGATGTCCTCCTTCTTCCAAAGATTGGGAGTTTCAAAGGATTCCAGGACATCTGCTCCACATAGCAGCATCAGATGAGGGACATCTGAGCACAGAGACAAGGAGCAATGGATTATAGTGATGGATGGATAGATACTTTTTGTTTTGTATACTTGTTAAGCTATTAAAACCTCAAAGAAGGATCCATAGGTGCAAAGATTTTGTTATTTTGTTTTTAAATTATAGAAAACTTGGACCCTACACTGAAAGAATTTTGGACTATGTTGAAGTAATGCAAGTGAGAAATTCATGGTACTGTATTTTTCCTGACTAGATCTTGTTTTAACGTCTGCTGCGATGCAGCTGGATGCTTCAAATTCAATCTGAGATTAAAGACACCTCTTTACCAAAGAGCAACCGACTTGCCGCCTCAGCTGAAGAACTGGCTGCCATCCAATCATAGTGACAAAGTACCCATTTCCTTAATGGCTGTACTCTTTCACTTCAGAAGAGTACATAAACAAAAAACAAATAGTTTTGTGCTTATGCATCCTTACACAGGTTCCTTTACCTCTTTTTTTGTTCTGATCTGAACTCTCAAAGCGTTTCTCCTCTATACGCCTCTTCTTTGCATGCTTTACTGTGTCCACATCATCTTTGTTATGTTCTGCAGCAATAATCTCTTCATAATGATGCCTGTGAATGAAGATAAAACAACTCTGTAAGCATATGCATTCATTCAAATAACTAAATTCATAATTCTTAAAGTAAAAAAATATTGGAAACTACCTAAAATGTGCAAGAAAAATTATAAGGGAAGGTCCATAAGTGAAATTGTATTGAAATTTACTTTCCTATCAATACAGGTAGGTTTCAATTTCTGTAACTTATTAAAATCCAAACAGAACAATTACGTTAAATATGCAAACTATTTAATAAATTCAATATCATATAGTTTAGTATGAAAAATTTGTCTGCATAAGTCGGCCTAACAAAAACAATACAGGTTAAGTAAAGCCTTAAAGCTACAGTGTGTAATTTTTAGCGACATCTAACGTCCAGACTGCAGACCGCAGCAACATGAACATCTCCCCCCCCACCGCTTCTCCCCCCCAACAGTACGGCTAGCGTTACGGGACAAAATGTCTTCCACGACGTCCGCATCACCTACCTTCTCAAGTGATGAGGTTTGTTTACATAGATAATTTTACAGATAGTATTCTCAGGCATAATATTGCCATCTATTGTTCAGTAATGGGCGATCTCGCAATCGCTAGTTTGTTGGCTCTGCGCTGCCGTAGCGCAAAGATGTCTGCCTCCATGGCTGCGAGACCCGCTCCTATGTAATTATAAATAACGAATTCTAAGGCAACACAAATATTAAGGTTAAGAGGCTGACCTCGTAGATGATGATAAATAACATAGTTATGTATAATATATTACATTTCTGACTGTATATCACTGTAATTATTACACACTGTAGCTTTAATTAATCTGTGAAATGAACAGAATATTCAAACCTGTAGAAAATACACCGACATAAAAGCGTGTAGATTATAAGCAGGTGAGGAAATAAACCATCAGACTTGCTATCATTGCTAAGCTGGTTTTGTTGATGTCACTCATAAAAATACAAATCGATAAGACACAGACACGTGACAGCAACTGTAAACCTACCGAACCACTTTAACCGTCTCCAACCACTCTGACTGCTGGCTCTCCCAGGAGTCCACTGTGATCCATCCTGAGCTTTCTGTGGCCAATCGGACCATCTCCACACGGTGACAGGACTCAATCAAACCCTTTTTCTTATAGGCATCGCCCACCGGAGATATGATTCCTTTTATCACCCTGTACTGACCTTAAATAAAAAGAGAATGACAGCAAAGGAGATGAGATTCCATTTTAAAAAGCATAGTAGGGCTATTATGATGATTTTGTCCAAACATAGTTTAAAAAAAAAACAATACAAAAGTTGTAAATTCATATTTTAGTTTTCAAATTAGATCAGATTTTCTTTTCAAAACTTTGCATCTACCGGTAGTTTAAGATGTCATTTCAACAGAAGCCATTAAGTTTATAATTTCATGCAGTGTCCAACTATTCAAAACACCTTTTTAAAGCCCATAAATGACTGCTTAATATTGTATAGGGGTTTTAGTGCTCGACTAAGACTTAAAGGAATAGTACACCCAAAACATGATTAGCCCTCATTTTCTACTCGCCCCCATGCTGAACAACACTCTGGAGTACTTTTTTGATATCTCAAATGCATCTGGAGATCTGGGAGGCTTCTTGCTGTCTGCTGACATTCAAATAATGGAGGTCTATGGTGCCCGAGGCAGAAAGGTCCATAAAAGTCCACAAAAAACGTGTCAATGTTCCTCCATACTGCTCGTCCAATGTATTCCAAGTGTCCTGAGTTGGTAGCATCCAGAATTTACTCGAAACGAAGTCATTTAGAATGTTTTTAGAGCATAAACAGTAGTGTATAGGATTTCCTGAAAGCGCGCACCTGCGCGTTCACGACGCTACGGAAGCCGCGGCAGACCAAACCAGATGAAAGTGCGCATTCAGCGTCTGCTCTGCCGATAATGCAAGCGTAGAAGAAGAAATGTGCTGTTTACCTGTGCAAAGAAAGAAACAACGAAAGAAAAATGTCTGAGGACTTCAGTGTTGAGGAAGAGCGATTAGTTCTTTGCCAAGCTGAATGCGCACTTTCATCTGGTTTGGTCTGCCGCGGTTTCCGTAGCGTAGTGAACGCGCTTTCAGGAAATCCTATACACTACTGTTTATGCTCTAAAAACATTCTAAATGACTTCGTTTCGAGTAAATTATGGACGCTACCCACTCAGGACACTTGGAATACATTGGACGAGCAGTATGGAGGAATATTGAAACGTTTTTTGTGGACTTTTATGGACCTTTCTGCCTCGGGCGCTGGGCACCTCCATTATTTGAATGTCAGCAGACAGCAAGAAGCCTCCCAGATCTCCAGATGCATTTGAGATATCAAAAAAGTACTCCAGAGTGTTGTTCAGCATGGGGGTGAGTAGAAAATGAAGGCTAATCATGTTTTGGGTGTACTATTCCTTTAAAGCACTAAACAGAAGCAAAATGCAGCGATTACAAGTATTTTTTAGAATATTTTAATATCCAATAATGTTTATTACACTCATGGCAAAGAATAAAGTATCCTACAATGCACAGTGGTTAGTTACCTGGCTTCCATGGTTTGGTTTGTAAAACATGCTGCATGATTTTTAACAGAAAGGAAAGTGAAAGCATATAAGTTATGTTTTGCATTTACCTTCATAGGATTCAATTATTTTAGGATCACTCTCTAATTAAATTATCATAGCCCATTGATCCACCTTGTTTGTACTGATTTCAATCTAAGTTGTGTTTTATTTCTCTCTCCTAATACATTTCCTAGTCCAACATCATTTAGATAAGAAATAATTTCACAACTGGACACAGATGTTGATAAAACTCTTTACATTGAAACCAAGTGTTGCTTTAACCTGTGTCTTCCAGATGATCTCGGGCCAGCTCAAACATCCTCAGGTGCATGTTAGTTATGGGGTTGAAGGAGCCGCAGGCCAAGAGAACCACTTTGGATGGACTGGGATCCTCCATCACTCATACTGGAGCAGGATTAACCATAGGAAAGAGATACACGAGAGAATGCTATTGGAATATCATTTAATTTAGTTCCATTCAAGCTCAAACCGAAAAAAACAAAAAAAACAATTATAGAGATTAAAGACTGAAAGTTGAGTTGTAATTTTAGTTTGAGGGAAAATGCTAATTGTTTTAGCCTCTTTAAAGTTAAATGTTCTATTGCAGTTTACATCGTTAGCTCTACTTTAGTGCCGCAGAAATATCCACTTTTACATTTAAGGATATATATACAAATACGGATTTAAAAGAATTAGTACGTTCTCATACCCAAAATAAAATAAAAATAGATCCTTTCTGTTCTATTCGCCTACAAGCGGACGCAAACTACTTCCTGTACGTAACTTTTTCCTCTTCTTTTTTATGGCGGTTGGCAAGCAACTTATTGATGCGCATTACCGCCATCTACTGGAATGGAGCGTGGATCGGGATGCTATATATAAATTCTCCCACATAATAGAATAAAATTATGATAATTAAGTTAATAAATATAATATTTTTTCTATCAATTTCGCTTTCTTAAGGTAATTCATTCAATTAAGAAAAAAACATTTAGAAGTAGAAAGTTCTGTACGTAACTGACGTCAGAGGTCACGTAAAATAGACGAAGCTGATTGGACTGTTAGGGAGACCGCACCCACGCTCTGAAGTTACGTTCATGGTCACAATTCCTCACATCTCATACGACTAGAGACAGAACGTAAACACCCTAAACCCGTCTTTACTGAATTAACCTGCTTTTCTTTCGGCTTTTATGCAGCGCCTCCTTTCATTATTATATGGTTCGGTCCTGTTAGTTTGAAACAAACGTCCCGCCTCGAGTTACTGCGTGTTTATAACTGTTTATTACAAAGGCAGCCCACGGTGAGATGCTTTGCTTTAGCATGCTAGCTTACATTTATGGTGAATGTTTATCTGAGCTTTCTGTTTGTTGTGCAAAAGTTAAGTTTGATGACCAAAAAATATTGAAACACAAGCTTCCTTTGCACCCACTTAGCCTATTTGTGGCCTGTTGATCAATATCAGTCAATCTGAGCAGGGGCTTGTTATTCTACTTCCTTATGTCTGTCCTCAAGTCTCTGGAAACAGGATTGTGACACAGAATGGCATCACGGGGGAAATCAGAAACCAGCAAACTGAAGCAGAACATGGAGGAACAACTGGACAGACTAATGATGCAGCTTCAGGACCTGGAGGAGTGCAGGTGCACAATGAATCAATCAATCAATAATCTCAGGTCTGCCTGGTTGCCTTCTATAAGGTTCTTATTGTTTTGTTGCTTTTAATAGAGAAGATCTGGAGGAGGAGGAGTATGAGGAAACAAAGAAAGAGACTTTGGAACAGCTGGAGGAATTCAACGACTCCCTGAAGAAGATAATGACAGGAGACATGACACTGGTGGATGAACTTGGTGGGATGCAGCTGGTAGGGACATTTATTCCTGCACAGACATTCTTTTTCAGAGGTCATACATTGATGACTGTCTCTACCTCTAACCATGTGTCAATCTGCACAAAATACAATATTAAACAAAATCAATTCAACACTGTAGTTAAAATCAAAGATGATAGTAGAAGGTTTCATTACCAACTGTCCAAGAGACCTGCTGCTTTGTCAGATGAGGTTACCCTGTCAGACCAACCTACACATAGTAATTACCCCTTTATCCCTTTAGTTTAGCCCTTTAGTTTTGTATGAAAAATAGAGTAAACTACCGCAACTGGTTTATATCCCTTTAGTCATGTACGAAAAAACTCTTTTAATTACTTACTTTTTGGTGGGGTTTTTTAAGCGTATGGCGATCTGACCTTGAATTGTTTTTTTGTACATGACTAAAGGGATACACCCCCCTGTTGAGTAGGGTTGTCACGATACTAAACTTTTCAACTCGATACCGATACTAAGGAAAATATTCGATACTCCATACCATTTTTTATATCACAAGGATAAAAACAAAGACTCCAAAATTCTACAGAAATATTTTCATTAATAAATAAAATACAATAAATAAATACAATAAACAATAAGAACAATATTTTGAGGTTGTATGCTGTGCACAATATTAAGCAAGCTTGATAAAAAACGTATAAAATTAAAATTAAGTGTTCCTTCTTTGGCTATGCTTTGCACACATAACAATGACACTAGCCGAACTGGTTAAGAAACAAAAATAATTCTCTCAATAATTCTGAAACTGAAAAGTGCACAGAATTATTCAATCCCACAGTGTTCTGAAAGTGCATTTTCCTCTATTCTGCACTTTAGATGAATGACTGCTTAGGTGCCACTGGTGGTTGCACTGTATCGATACTTTTAAAAACGAGTATTGTATCCGGATACAACATTTGAGTATCGATACTTTTTTGAGTATCGATACTTTTGACAACCCTACTGTTGAGGTAGTTTAGTCTATTTTTTATACAAAATTAAAGGGATACACTCCTGTTGAAGTAGTTTAAAGTCTAAAACTAAAGGGATAAACGCAAATCTGACGTCTTGCGCATGTGTATTGATTATGGGTCTGCTGGTATGAAGAAGTATGCTCATCTGACAGAACACCGGCACAGGCAGGAGGTCCCACTTCTGCTGACATTGGTGGTGAGAAGAGTGAGTAGATCTAGTAGGATTTCTTGGCACTCACATCACATTGAGCTGAGATGAACAATAAACACATCAGGTTTGGTTAAGAAGGACCCAGATGAGGTTGTTCTACCTTTATATTTTTGGTTATAATGTGCAGACAAAATGCTGTTGCAGCAATACAATGACAAATAAACATTTTTAACACCCCTCTCTTTCCTCCAAAAAAAAAAAAAAAAAACATGAATTCCACAAGGGACTATTTTACGTCCAGTCTTTGCTTTTTGTATTAAAGATTTTCTCAATGTGTTCTAATTTTGTTTTTCTTATACATATATTTGCTGATAACAGCAGCTTTGATGCTAAAACCTATCATGCAGTTTCATCAAATCTAAATTTATACTTAGAGAAGGTTAAAGTCTGGTGGGATGCCTTGTGCTTATTTCTCTACTAAATAAACATTAAAAATGAGTATACGATGAGCTGAAGAGGCCTTTTGGATGAGAAATGAAATATCTAAAAAACAAATGAAGAACTCCATCAATTTCAGAACTCTTCATCATCGTGTCCTGAATGATATAGAATCTACACCAGTGTTTTAAAAAGTACAATTTATTGTTTACTGTTTAACAAGCTGTCAATTAGAAGATTGAATCATTGAATGACTTAATTATACTGAGATGAAACACTCATCCAATCTTATCAAATAATGTTAAAATGTCTTATTAATCTTAAAATCATATATACTTATCTTAAAATCTTGTTTTATACATATTTAATAATTATTAGCAACTACTATTAGTCGCTATCTTTTAATCATGTCTTATCTGTTGCATAAATCTGCTACATCTATCCTGTTTATTAGGAGATTTAATAATAAACATTGCATTCTGATTTGTGAAATGTTGACTTGTTTTCTCCATCAGGCAATCCAAGCTGCCATCAGCCAAGCCTTCAAAACCCCCGAGGTGATCCGACTTTTTGCAAAAAGGCAGCCCGGACAGCTGAGGACCAGGCTTGGAGAGGTCTGAGCTCCAGGTGTTTTTAAACATGTCTTAGAATATTTTTTCTTTTCCTACTTGACAAATTTTCAACCCTTTTTTTTGTTTTTTTGCATTTATGTCGTGTAAATCTGTGTCTTGGCTCCTGTGACTCACTGCATTGTGATTTTGTTTGCGCTGCTTTACCTGAAAATTGTCCAACCTGTGTGTGACATTCCGGAGCAGATGGACCGAGACCTGATGGTGGGGAAAATGTCCCCGGCCGTTCACACGCAGCAGAAAATGGAAATCCTCACAGCCCTGAGGAAGCTGGGAGAAAAGGTGACGAAGCCCACTGATTTTCCATGCACTCTCAAATTTTTATCATGTTTCTATTTAAAAATTCACGCCACTGATTATCTTAGTCATCTTTGTCGAAAAAAGCCTGAAGTATTTAAGGAGATTATTAAAGTTTTTTTGTTTGTTTTTCAAACAGCTTACTCCAGAAGATGAGATGTTCCTTACTAAAAACACTACAGCTACTCTAAGTCAGTTTGAAAAAGTCACTGCCAACCTGGGTGAGCAGAAACAAACTCTTTAAATTTTTATAAATGCATCTTTTTTAGTTTATTAATTAATTATTAACATTCATCTTTGTTTTTTTCCTCTTTTTTCCCTTTAGGGTCGGAAGACAAAATTATGGCTTTAGCTAGTTCTGGGGTGAAAACCAAAGAATAGACATTTAAAAAAATTATTTTAAATCAATGTTCTTATAAAAAATGTCCCAATTAATCAAGTTTTGTATGAATACCTTTTCACTTTTTAGTGTTTCTATAAATACTAAGCGTTTTTAACAGTATTGTTTTATACTTGTTAATGTTTTTAAATGTCCGTTATTCTTCTGTAAAACTGTAATATAATAGGTACGAGCATGTGATCTGAGATGTTTGAATAAACGCAACGAATGTTCATCACAACCCTTTGGATAAAACAGAAATAATATATTATCATTAGCCAGAATATGATTCACCATTGTCTGAAAATGTTAATTTTTGTGCTCTACAACAACCACAAGAGCTGGGATTACAATTTTAGCTTTATTGAGACTTTTCTCTCTGCAGCATGTGATCAGGAGTTATAAATGCTATTATTTAGGCACAAATATATATCTAGAACAATGGTAAGTAGCACCTCACACACTATGTTTCTTGCTATAAACATAATTCTTTCAAATATTTGTTCAGTCTTGGTATATCTTGGAGAGTTTGTTTAAATTAAATCATTTGATGTGGCTCTGAAGCATGCTCCAGCATCTACAGTTTTGTTTACATTGGAGCCATTTGTGAATCCTGATTTTAGACATCCTGCTGTAGCAGTTCTGCAGAAAGCTTGTTAATTGCTACATAACAGTATGTGCTGCTCTAAAGGGCATTTATCCAGCTATACCGGGGTTGGATGTATATATTCGGCTCCTACACAGGAAAAGGATTTTAAACATATTTCAACCTAAAAAAGATCAGATTTGGTTCCTGATTGAAAAGAGTAAAGTTGACTTAAACTAGGGCTGCAACTAACGATTATTTTGCTAATTGATTGATATGTTGATTCTTTTTTCGATTAATAATTTGATAGCAAAGGGAGAGTATTAATAGGACTAAATCAGGTGAAACTTAACTTTAGCACCTGAGGAGTTCTGGGTAGAACATATTGAAAGATACATTTTTTTATGTTAAATGCAAAACTATTATTGTTTAACAATTTTTGTATAATTACTGCTCTAAGTGGGTCGCTCTGTCAGCTAAAGACCTGTTTTAGCGTCTCTATAATCAGGTTAACGATTACTAGCTTAGTTGGCGATTATTTCAATATTAGATTATTTGTTTCAGCCCTAACCAAAACTTTCACTCCTTAAATTTGAGCAAAAACTGCTCTTTTTATGGGAAATACTTCACACTCGGAAAAAAATGACACAATTTTGATCCAGTTTGGATTATATGAAAGCAATAAATTTAAACTGGTTTTGGAAAAAAAGTTTTATGTTGTGTGATTTTATATAAATCCATAAAAGCCCCAATTTTAAATTGATGAGTGACTTCATGTAAAATTCTGACCCTTACTATATATTTAAGTTACTAAAATCTGACATTAAACCTGAAGTGAGATTAGTCCACAAGACCCATCCATCCATCCTATGAATTACACGTCTAAAAGTACTAATACTAGAGTGTACATCGCTAAGTGAATACTTATAATTGGCAAACAGTGTGACACATTACACTAGTCATTTCTATGAATCTGATGACTCGCTTATTGATCGTGCTTTATTATTTTTTAGAAGGAATCCTAGGAGTTTGGGTCATGTTTCTTAACCCTTATTCGCTCCTGACTGACCTTTCAATAAACTCAATGGAGTTGGTGTTGGCGGTATCGATATTTCCTTTGAATATTAGTTTCATACACATTCATTATTATGAAATCAGCCTCCTTTACTGGATTAAAGTCTCTTTCAATTTCATTTGGAAACCTTTATTTCTAAGCAAAGCTAACAGCATTGAGCTTCTTTTGCTTTATCCACCTTGAAAAATTCCTAAGGATTTTCTACTGAACACTAGGGGGCACACTTGTTTCAGGTGTGCAGTACTAACACATGGGGTGTGTTCTCATTCCTCCCCAGAAAATCAGAACTCAGAAGAAAAAAAAAAAAAAAGAGAGGCTGTTTATATTCCATCAGTTCGTCCTTTATTGTGTTTAAGAGCAACCATCAACTTCACTACAATCCGCCTTCTGACCTGTAGGAAAGAGAGCAGCTCCAACAAGCACAAAGAAGGCATCCCACATTTCTGCAGACCCGTTCGTCCATTTGAGCAACATTCGAAAAATGAAACAACAAAAAGAAAAAACATCTTATGATCTGGAGTGTGATGAATGTGTGAAACGGACAATCTTGGGAATCAGTAGTGCGTCACAGTCTCCGTCTCTACCCCTCATAGAACATTCACAAACGTGCGGCTCATGCAGAGTTGCTTCCTATTGGTGTAACGGCCTGGCTGCATGTTATGGTAGAGGTGACTCAGATTAAGGAGGTTGGAGTCATTGTGGAGACGTATGTAAGAACATTACTGACCTTGAAACCAGACTTTAATGTTTAACATAAGGATTTACTGTCATTGTGTGAATTTCATGCTGCCCTTTAGAATCACTTCTTAACAAGTCAAGCAATAGAAAAAGAACAATCACCTACTGTACACCGTCAGCTCAGTTATTAGTTACGCTGCCAAAGCAATTTCTTTATGTACTGTACATCATTTAAAGGTGGATTCAGTACAATATCTATAGAAGATACAATATGGATCTACTTTCTCTACACATCAACAAGGACACATGACATCTATGTAGAATGTTTGTACTTTCAATAAAACTAGCGGTGGACTACGATCACTACAAGCTGGAAAAAAAAAATCTCAGCTTTGTAAGAAATCTAGCGTCAAACAAAAACAAAAAAAATACCTCAAATAAAAGAGCGTGGAGAAGTGTCTTTTTTTTCTGTTAGACCTGCTAATTCTGCAATGATTGGCGAAAAGGCACTCCCATCTCAGCTGGCTCAGACCTGGCCCCGTGCTTTAAATCAGGAAAGGGAGACTGGTTGTTGAACAATTAAACGAAGATTTAAAAAAAAAAAAAAGAAACAACCCTTCAAAAGAAGCTTTGTCCCCATAAGGAAATTAGATTTGGCCTCTGTGAAGAGAATCTCATGCAAAATATGAAAAAATAAATAACCTCCCCCAAAAAAAATCCAGCCTCTAATGCTTGTTTGTAAATGCCGCTCCTGCACCATGCAATGCCCCAAATCTGGTAGAAGCGAATGCAGCTTTTAGCATCCTCGCACTAAAGAGCAGAGGTTTGTCATCATCTGGTTTTGTAAGACAAATATTTATATATATATATATACATACACACACAACAGTGATGGACAACAGCGTCTGAGAGGAGACAGGCTGGGCACATTTTCCCAATTGATCGTATAAGCTTTATACTACCTCCAGCAGGAAAACAAGTTTACCAAATGTAAACAAATATGTCAGAACAACTCTACCAGTATGGTTCCACGTACAATAAAAACCTAATGGTCTACTGAGAAACAAAAGAAGAAAGCGGTTATTTTTAAAATGTTTTCCTGCTAAAATACAGTAAATTTGTGACGCTTTTGGAGCAGGAGTACAAGTTAAAAATGATAAACAGCCATGCCACAAAGCTAGCTAAGTAAACCTCGGTGGATAGAAAGGCTTTTCCTTCTTGTTTTCTTCACGGCAGAAAGAAAGCAGTTTAAAGCTGCCCTGCTCGTCCAAATCCACAAGCAGGAAGTTCAGTACCTGTATTTAAAATCCTCCTGCCGTGCTTTCTGGCAGTTTGGAAAGTACCATATGTAGCAAGAATAGTGGAACTAAAAATGACCAATAAAAGGTTCCTCCTGTGCAACATCAAGCTGAACTGGGAAATGTGGACGCCAGGAGTCAAGCATCGCAGCGAAGCGCGTGCGTACCAAGGACCGAAAATGACACAATTCAATAAAGACAGAATTTGATAAATATTTGTTTGATTATTTCAATAGTATTGGATAAATAATGATTTTTAGTGGTAACCATTTAAATCATTTAATGATAGAAAAAGTTCATTAAATATGGAGATTGGTCATTCAAATTTATATATCTTATGTGTTAAAAAAAAACCATACTTGTGAATGAAATGTTTTAAAGCAATCAATATTCTTTTTTTTTTTGGGAAATTGATTTCAAAACAAACTAATAAATAAAATTAAAATGATAAATACATTACCACTAATGCCACTAATATTAAAAAACTGATTGCAAAAGTAAGTATTGTCTGACTTTTCCTTTATCTTTTAGTAAAACTGTGGTGCAGGCTCATCAATCAGCTGTTAGGGTCAATTTAACGACAAGCTGCTTCATAATGGCAGGAAATCTGAAATAAAATAAATAAAACATCTATGTGATTTCAAGAAATTATGCATTTTCATATAATTCATATTTAATTCAGTAATCAGTAAATTATTGATGTTTTTATGTATATTAGTCTTCCTGTTGGTAAGAACAGTTGAATATAAATTATGAAATCGACAAATTATTTATCGGATTGCGGCCACTTTTGGTCCCTGATAGTGACTGAGCTAAAACTGTTAAAGAGAAAAGCAAAATAATCCATTTCACTCTGCAGAAATATTTCTTTTTTTAAAAAAAAGGACAAAAGGACCCCCCTCTGTCATGGAAACCTCTGCGTAACAGTCCTGGGCTTCTCATGACGAGGCACACTTTTGGAAATGCACGGTGGAACGGCTTCAGCAGAAATTCAGCGACATGCTACAGCCTGTGCAGACACAGATATTCTACATTACGTACTGCGTCTTTTTTTGTTGGTTTTTTTGTAGTTTTTCTTTAAGATATTGGACCCTGCTGAGCGGGCTTTCACTAACACATCAACTAATTACATTGTTTTTATATTTACAACAACAACGGAAAAAAAAATCTTTAAAAAGCAATTTGTTTCTCTACAAGTAAGACTTCCCAAGTTTCCTCATGCACTAAACAAGGACAATTAAAAAAAGAGAGTAAAATTGCTTCACTGTGGACCACAATCCAAGAAAACTGAAGTCAGCAAGCGACCCTAAAAACATTAGCCAAAGGATATACATCAGGAAATCTAAATGAATCTCTGCATGAAAGCCTGACTGAGAACAGAAAGTGCAGGGCTGGCTTCTTCACAAACTCCAGAAGAAATGTCGGCCAAGATTTCAAGGGAATTAAAATTAGAATAAATAAAAAAAATGAAAAGTTAAATCAGCAACCTGGTGATGACTACACTACACTGAGTACCACCACGAAGATAACAACAGGAAAGCCTTGACCATATACGCTGAAGGACATTTTTCATTTTTTTTTTGTTGTTTTTGTATTTTATGGCT